GCACGTCTTCTGAATCAAACCATTGAAAATGGGCATCTTCTGGTTGGTGCATCCTTAAAAAGTTGTGCAACGCACAACAAGCAATGACTATAGTTATTTGAGTGCTCATGTAGAAATTATCTACCAGACCCTTTAACCATTTGAATCTTTTCTTCAGCACACCGAATGTGCGCTCAATGACATTGCGAAGCTGCGAATGTCGAGTATTGAACAAGATTTTTGCCGGAGATTCGGAGCTCATGTTCTTGTACGGGGGCATGAAACCAGGAACATTCCTATATGCCGCATCAACTAAGTAGTATTGGCCTAATTGAAAAAGTTAAAAAGTTAATAGACGGGATAAAAAGTAGGAGTTTAGCATTTAAAGCATAGCAGTTATTGACTTGAAAAATTGGGCACGGCTAATTACCAGGTTGCGGCAGTGGAAAATCGAACGGATATGCTAATGCTGACTCTAATACTCGCGCATCATGTGCACTTCCCTCCCATCCAGCATACACATAGATGAAACGCATGTCATGGTCACAAACTACCAGAACATTCTGTGATTGAAACCCGTGCCGATTTGTATATGTCATTTGCTCACCTGTCGGAGGACAAGCTGAGATGTGGGTGTCATCAATCGCTCCTACGGCATCCTAATATTCATGAAAAACATATAATTAGCTTTTTTGAATTAATTTACTGCATCGAGGCAAAAAACACTCTTCTTTACACATTACCTTGAACCATGGATAAAAATTAGTTGAGTTTGCAATTCGTGGATGAACTGCAATCTGGTCACCCGGTCGTATTATTTTAGCTGTATATAGACACAGGCCTCGGAGCACCTTTCTTATATTTTGGTTAATCGTCTCTATGGATCGATCAAAAGTAGTCCCTAACACATGGTGCGTATGCTTGTGACTCACCAACATTAAAGTCATAGCTAGCGCCTCTTGTATGGGTACACGCTGTTGGTAATTGTGTGGAACGTACTATCTCTGGACAAAAATATCGGACAGTAGCAAGAAATTATCAACTGTGATATGCATGTTGTCTATTGATCGTCTATGATGATCGTAGAGTAATCGCTCCACCCACTGTCTATCGGTGAATGAGCCATCATGTTGCGGAAGTGGTTGATTTTTGGTTACGTGTGCAAGAGACGGATGCATTAACATTAACGAGGCACTCATAAGAAGTAAGGCCTCATCTTCCTCATCTTGCCTCATGCAATTCGAATTGCGTCCCCTAGCACCACGACGGTTGTTCCAGACTATGATAATTGAGTATATATCTGTATATATTTTTACATAAGTGTGTTCATGTGTGTATATCTAATTTCATAAATTTGTTTATATACGTGTTTGTTTACATATGTAAAACGTATATACTAGACATAAAATGTCTTTAACTTAAAGTATCAATTTCTACATAAGTGTCCCATCAGAGCCTTCATCATCCTTTCACACCAATTATGAAAACGAGAGCAATTTTATGGAATTAAAGATACATTAGCAATATGACTTTTATATCACAAGGATGATAATTCATTACTATGACAATTCTTTCCTACCGACCTCACTTAGGAAAAATTTTTCTACATGTAAGATTATTAATTGGAGTTTAAGAAGGACATAAAGTATGATTAACATTTGATGTGATATTCTTCCAAATAAATTTGAAACAATATTCAAGTTCAAAAAGTGGGCCAGTAATTGTTCTATATAATTGCACAAATAATCTAATCACATGAAGGCTCTTTCTTTCTCCTTAAGTTTAGAAACTGATTTATCAAGAATTTGTTCTCAAAATAACCTTTTAACTAATTTTAAGTACGTTGAAAATTGTTTTAAAGGAGAGGCTATGGTTGTATTAAATTGTGCACGGGACAATTAAATGAAATATCACTTTGAACATGCAAAAATCACTTTAATTCGTAATACCTCAAAATTAAAATATCACTTTAATTCGTAATACCTCAAAATGAAAATATCACTTTTTTTTCCTTTTTCTCTTTTATGAAAGTTATTAGAATTTAGTACTACTTTAGATTGAACATGCAAAAGACAACCATTGGTAAAAGTTTGATTCGTACTACCTCAAAAAGAAATACTATAATATGAATATTACTTTAACTACGAACTTCCACTTTAATTCACCCTTACCTCAAAATGAAATATCACTTTGAACATAAAAATATGACTGACTTTTATGCGATACACGTATAATGCATTAAATGGGACTATGAACGGTTTTCATAAAAGAACTAAATAACCACAGAAAACAAATATGTAGATTGCAATATTTACTGTGAGGAAAGCTGCTACTTACCTCGTTTTACCTGGCACACCACGTAGTTTACGGTTTGCCACACTCATTGCCCACACAGCTACCACGTACACAATCAACTGGGAAATATAACTTTGGGAGGAGAAATGGCCGGCTATTCGTCTTGGTGTTATGTCTCTGGTTTTCATTCTTTCTTTGAGGTGTAGAGGATTGGAGTGAATTTCTTATGGTATATATATTTATTGGGGTGGTTGGCTGATCTGCATTGGATGCATGGTTATCGTACTACCATAAGTATCTCTACCGCAATGCCTGCTTTATGGTAGTACGATATATTTGGTGTACAGGCCTTGGGATGCCGATTAGCACATACATTTCTGCAATTTATGGCCCCTGTAGTACACTTTATAGCTAGTACATACTGGCAGACATGACAAGTCCCTGAATATAGCAAGTGTTGTAAGTAGTACAATTGCTCACATTTCTACTTTTTCAAACTTGTATTGGCCAGCAAAAGCATGGCTCACTTACGTACAAAACCTATCTCCACCATGCTTGGTAGGGAGCCTGGCCCCATACAACTAAATTATTTGTTCATCGTTTTGTAGTGAGGGTGGTAGTACACATTGCCATGCTATAGTATATTTTTACACTTGAACAGCCTCCCTGTGGGTATAAGGAGTGTGTTTACATTGGAAGCAACGTAAAATCATTTTATTGTATAAATTTTAGTGCTAGTAAGACCACTTTCCCACATTTTATCCAAAGTCACTTCAATCTGTAAGAGGATAGCACGCTTTCCATCTAAGAAGAAAGCAAATGTTTGTGTGTTAAAATCAAATAACTAGAGGGGTTTGATACTATGGTTTTCTACGCTCTCTTTTGTCTTAGGGATAATTTGAGAAAGAGCCCAGTTTGCATATGTAAGCAAAAATATTCAACGACTATCCTGACATGCCTACTTTTAAAAGCAATAAAATATTTTTTTTTTAAAATTTAAAAAGCCGTTTTCCATCTCCAATCATGACCTCATCATCGTCGCATTCAGTCATTCAAATGTCCTCCACGTTGCCTTCCCTATTATCACCAATACCAAACATCAAAACAACACAATAGTTAAAACTGCTTTTACTAGTTTTGCTCTGCCTAATCACATCCTTAAAGAAAAATGTCTTGAGTTACCTTATAGCCGTAAAGACCTCTAAAGTCATTTGGTGCCAAGATTTGCTGGGTACCAATCACCAGCACGCTGAGAAATGAGGGGCCAAAGAAAACCCCATGAGATAATAGCCTAAGGTTGAACAGAGCAACTGACAATATGAGGGCAGATCATACCACATCCTACATAGATAGGACTAAAGGCAAAATAAAACCTACACGACAAGAGCAAGACACAAGCATCAGTAATATGTGCTACAAGGAATCTGCACTGGTGATCCTAAATTCACACTTGCAACTGGCCCTAGAAAAGGGCTCTTGATGTAAAGGATAATAGTAACATCAACCATGCCATGTTGAATAAGACAAAAGTGGATGAACCACAACATCCTCTTTCTTTCACTTTTTCTTCTCTCTACCATTGAAAAGAGAAAAATTGATGCTGATTTCAATATCATCTGATTAGACATAAAGCTATGTAGGAATCCAAGATATCTCGATACAATTATGACAACTAGTACCAGCCTGCTAGTGGTAAAGAGTTATTCAAAGCAACTAGTCACTTGTATAGCTATGCATCAACTCAGTCAGGCATTTTCTAGCTTGGCAACTAGCTATTCTACAACATGTGCCACATCTACAATGGACTTGCACCATCTTATGAATTCAACGTCAGGAGAAACAATGAGAATAAGAAATTAGACGTGGATACAGTAAACTATTTCAAGTATTTCCCACCTTTCTCAGGACTTATAACAGAGAGGCAGAGACTCAAAATCAAATTCACTTGCTGGTCTAAAAATTGCAGTGTGGACTTGAAATCAACTGCACCTAGCATTGGTAAATCCCCAGAAGAGAAGCTTACGTGTTCTTAAATAATGTCAACCCAAGGCTACGGAAATTGTCAAATCCACTTGTTTCCCCAATACCACTGAAGAACCATTTGAAGCAGCTCCAAAAGAAGCTAATGCTCAAATATTTTTCATGAACAGCCTCACTTGTTTCCTGAGAAGCCCAAAGTGATATAACATTCCAGAAATTAGGACTAAAGATTGAAAGACACAACTATTTGCACAAAATAAGAACCACACAGCAACATGCCTCCACCTATGTTTAACATTATAGTCATTTTTCATGAATTGTACTATAATTCACAGAAAGCAAAACCAAAATAGCATTGAACCCTTACCTGCTTAACATAAATAGCAGTTAGAGCTATCAAAGCTTTACCCAGCTTTACCCAGTATCAAAGCTCCACCATGTCCAGAGAATCCTATTCGAATAGATGTATCTTCAACAATCCAGAGCACGACAAGCAAAAGTGATGTAAACTTTGCTGCATAGTCATGGATTATATGTCCAAAATTGTCTAATGAACTTAATTCATGCTTCATGACAAGTTAATAAAAAAAGCAACAAGGACATGGAAGTGTGAATGCACAATCCCGAAGAAACATATCGTACATAAATGTTGGATACAAATTAACAAGAATAAAAAACAGATTACATTTAATCCATGGTCTATCACTTTCTAGAAGTACAATCATCCACAATGTACTTTCAAGTAGAAAAATTCAACATTGGCATGCCACATAATGTGTTCTTAAGCCATGCCTTTCTCCTTCATCAACTTAAGGATGTAGTCGTAGCGGTCTGCTGCAGAAGCCCTAAGGAAAATAATCCTTTCACCCTCTCTGTCACTATTGGCATAATGACAGTTAGCATGTATTCTCCAATCTTGCGGAATCTCCATTGTGCTAATCACATCCTGGCACTGCATTACACTGTAGAGGGACTCGAACTCCATCCTACTCTGTCTGTCCTCAATTACGAAATCGGAGTAATTTCCAATCTTGCTTATAGTATCCTCAAAACTAGTAAATGACCGTGTCAATTTTGAACCTCTAGTCCCCTCCGGTTCACCGCTGGTTCCTAGACTTGAGGCTGACCGTTTTCCTCCAACTGTCCCAAGAACTGGGGGAACATAGTACACATCATCGTCATCCTCTTGGACAGGGATGTTCGCTGGAGTAGGAGCCTTCGAGCTAGAGGCTTTACCTTTTCCCTTCCGACTTTTAGCAGAAGCGTTGGCCTTTTCACGGCGAGGCAGTTCCGATGGAACTACCTCGCTTGCAGACTGGGCACGGCTGTCTGTGACGTGTCTTCCAAGTAGTATTGGTGTCAACCGATCGTACCAGTAGCATGAATTCTCTTTTTGGAATTCAGCGTACGAGGCATTAGTCTAATGAAATGCAAATCTGAAGTCAGCATCAAGTAAAGAGGCTCTGACTACTATTTAACTACTGAAATAGAAGATATTAGAGGCAGTAGAGATGCATTTCAGTTAGTACGAGTCTTGGAACAGAAATTTCTTTACCAATATTTTTCACTGATAGAAAAAGTAATGAGCCAGAATTTGGGAAATATAGAAGGCCATAGATCATAAGCAGTTATCTAGACAAATATTGGAGAAGGAACGAAGCTCGGCAGGAGCTAGAAACAATACTAAAGTAAGGTAGCAGTTATTTTGGGACCAAATGTCAAAAAGTGTCCTAGCTACAGCAACCTTTCTAGAACCTCCTAGATTTTTCCACTTGTTTAGAGGGATAAGAAGGAGAAGAAATACGTTGCAAAACTTTAAATACGTTATTTGCACTTGAATCAGCCTAAATATTTCTCAATTTGAATCCAAGTAATATTTTGCACAAAACAGCATGCAAAAGGGTTTTAAGTACATCCACGGCAAAACAAATAATCCTAAAGTTTACAACCTAGAGGCATAATGTGAAAAACTGGCCCATACCCCTATGTAACGTGAACCACAAAGTGGACATGAAAATTAGGTCAAGAAACAAAGAGCAATGCTGAATTTTCTAGTGAGACAAGTGCAAGCTAACTTTATCTTTGGGTAGATACAAGTTTAAATGTAAGCATCCCACACAAGCTACTGCACTCAATAAGAACAATGAAAAGAAAAAAAGGGTTCAATACAAGTTTTTCATTAGAAGTTTTAAAAGGCATATATAAAATGCAGTATTAAAAGGCACTTCAGAGTCTGCACAAATCCAAACTGTGGCTGCCGAAAACCAATTAACAGAAGTAAGGGTAGCGACAAATCCATACCTGCACCAAGTTGGCTCAATGTTCATCATCAGCAGTGAAACAATAGCTGTTCTCACTCCACCCAACCCCGGTCTCTGATTTTGATGACATCCCCCATAGATTACAGAACAAGTCCCATTTCTTCTTGATGTGGTAGAATCTGGTCTGCAATTGCTAGCCAATGACTGTCATTATGCCATTACTTGCCAAATGGCCTGCCAACATGTCGTAGTTTGTCTCTAGCGACTTCTTGTTGTCCCACTAGTTATTTTTCCTAAAGCTAACATAGGCTGTGAGGAAAGCTTCGTCCATTGCATCGGTCCATTGAATCCTAGAAGCCATTTGCTATGTTTGATGGAAAAAAACAGTTAGCGCTTGCCGGAGAATACAAAAATTGTTCGCAGTGCTTTGAAAAAAGAAATGGACAATTAATAGAGAAAGCAAAAACAGGTGCAGAAGGAAGTCAACGAATTCACTTGCCTCAACGTAGATGGAAAGGCAGTCGATATAGTTGTTGGAGGCAGTTGACGAACGGGAGGAGCAATCGAACGTACAGCTAACAGGTTAGGCTTCAAAATTCGAACAATAAGCTGTAAGATTCAATTAATATGCTGCAAAAATTGCTTAAGTAATACAGATACACATGGAAGAAGGACATACAATTGCAAGAAAGCTTCTTCCTCTTCTCAGCGGTCATAACCGAAGGGAGAATAGCCTCAGAACAAGTAATGGCAGCAGCTGCTCAGTAAAATTATTTAGTCATCAGAAAAAATATGCACCTAAACAGCACCTAATTGTTTGCATCAAAACAATCCTAGCATGTTAGCCATAAATTCCAATGTGAAAAAAAATAAATCTTGCATCTGACCATTGTGGAAATTACTTTGAACAAATAATAAAGGTTTTCAAGTCCAAAGATCAAAAATTAGACTTAAAACAGGCATTCAAAGTTAATGCAAGTACATATTCATGAACTGTGCAGGCTATTGTAAGCACTTTCTCAGAGATGGTTGTCCAGCTAAATATCTGTGATTATTGTATTATATGGGAGATCCATTCATAAACAAAAGACTACCTTTACTCCGTACAAGAAACCGACAAAAAGGGCATACTATCTCACATACTTCCACATGAGCTGCATGACATATATAATCTGGCTTTTTGCATGGCAGTTTCTTTATAGTTCCAACCATGATACTACAAGACTAAGGCTGGTGAAACTAGCCATATCACCATCATCATTACTATCTCGATTTTAGGCAAGGCATCATTTTTCATTATCTAGTGAAATTGCTGTGAACCACTTAAATGTTTTGGTTCAATAATTTCCATTAGAAGATCTACTTGCTATCAAGATTCTATTAAAAGATAGAAAGGTAAATAGATCCTTTTCTGCACAACAATTTTATGGTGAAAGTAGAAAGTAATAAGGTAAATATGGTCGTCAATTTTTTCTTCATGATTTCTGGTGAATTAATCATTAGTATTACCAAGTACCAAAAATATAATGAATCTAATTTTTCCAAATTCCATACAAGTAAAAGTTAAACATGCAATTTATGTCTAGCATTAATTTATGTCCAAGAATATATTGTACTTCATTTCTTTTTCTTTTCAGGGGTGATGAAGAACAAAATAATTTATATCCTGCTTCAAAGTGAAATATTTCAAAGCAAAATACACTTCTAACATCCTTATCCTCCTAATAAATTACGACAAATTTTCCCATCTCCAATTTAAATTTTTCCATCCATAATCACGAAATAGGCACAAAGAGGAATAAATTCCCTACTTGCATTTTATTACTACTATATAAATTCCCTACTTGCATAGCTAATCCAATTTTTTTTTAACACACCATCTCGAAATCAGAAGCAGCTTTGGCAGGCCCCTGTTTCCGCTCTCCCTTCTTCTCATCCACTTCCGATTACCCATTCCCTTCCTCTTACCAAAATCAACATAAAACCATCATCTCCTCTATTATTACATTTAACCTTATGAATCCACTTTTCCAACCAACACCAAAACTCATAATTTAGTGTTGAAAAAAGCAAGAATTGCTTCCATTGCTCTACTTAAACAGTTTGCACCTTCATCGTGTGAAAATTGACAAGTTCTTTCATTGGTAGCGCCTTTTGACAGTATAAGTAAGAAGCCTAACAAATACTCAAGAAATAGACAAAACAGAGGATCGATCAAATTAACCAGAAATGAAAGCTCATGATGGGTATTAAATGTAAATACCGCCCTTGATCTGTCTAAAATAGAGAAACTAAAGAATTAATTTGTTCATTGCATGGCCTTGAAATGTTTAAGCAACATTTCAACTTTTGCTTAATTGGAAGGTGGAGTCTGCACAACACCAGCTAAAAAGTTAATCGGGTGGCAATCCACAATCAGAAAGACTGTTTTAATTCTCATTCCCTCCCAATTTGGAATGCCAGAGCAGCTTTATTCCACCATTCCATTCATATTCGTGTTCAATTAAAACTGAAAAATTAATCTAGCTAAAAAAAAACTCTACTCTTCACACATACCCAACACAAAATCAAGCGTTCCAACGATGACAAAAAGACTCAAAATCTGTGGAGAACTAGAAAGAGAGATCAACGAAGGAGGAGGAATATAAATTGTAGCTGATGGTAAATCGAGAAAATACATACCTGTCGCTGTAGATATGGAGAAAGAGGGGTGTTCTCGAAGTGCACTTCCGCTGGAGTATTGGATGTCTAAACCGCAGCTGGACGAATGCGGGCTGGAGATTCAAATCGCAGCTAAAATAGTTGTTTGCCAGATCTGATTGCACACTGGTTTAGATTGCAGCTGTCTTTGCCGGTGCGAGCTAGATGAAAATAGCGATTGGAAAAAGCACAGAGAGCACGTGAAGCCTGTCGTGCTCTATTGAGGAGTAAATGGCTTTACCCCTCAACCAACGGTTACTTTTGCATGCCTTTGAAAAGTTGAGTTGCCACGTCAGCTATTTGAAGTGTTGTATGACTTTAGTGCAAAAGGCTACGGCACGTATAGGAATCCAATGTCGGTTAAATGCACAGGAAATAACCCCACTTTTATCTTATACAGTCCAAATGGTAATTTCCTAAATAGTGAAATAACCAACTAATTCTGCTTTCCAAACAAACCCATGGTTGTTCTGGATCTTTGAGTTTTAAATACAAGTTTTAGCAAACGATTAACATTAGCAAGATAGAAAATATTTGTTATATCTTATATGGTCTAGACCATGCTAAGTTAATAGATATAATATTATGAGTCTCTAATTGGATTCCTTAAAATGTATTAATAGCAAGGATTTCACGGATTTCATTATTTGACTTTGTTCAAAATTCCATCAACTTGATAATTCTTAGTTCTTCATAAATTTCTTATGCAAGCCTGTTCTCATTTCTCTTAAAGTCTCATTATGGCATTTGCTTGTATAGTTGTGTTTTGACTTGTTGTTTTACTATTCAATATTGGCTATTTGTTTCATAAGGAAACTTCAGACTACTTGGCAGCTTGGTGGTCTACCTTGCATCAATTTTTTTGGAACTGTAAAGTATGATATTATATATTTTCTTTTTACTAATAAACAAAATAATTAGATACCGATCTTGTTTAAATTTGAGGAATTCCGGATAAAATGTTTTGCACTATGGTTTTAAGGCTGTAAATATTGGCCAACATGCAGCATAAAAGAAAATTATGTCATATCCTATTTTTATTTTTGAGTTGCTTATGATGTTTATAGTTTGCTCTGGTGGACAATTATAGTATAATTAAGTGGATGGACAATTACGTCACATCAATTAGACGTGATTTCGTGGACAATTACGTCATATCATTTTTTAGTTGCTCTGTCTCCACTTCATGTATCACTACCTTTTTTCTTTCGCCTTTCATTTTAATATAACCATCTCTGTGAATGGAATTTTTTTTTTACAACAGTGTCTATATTTTGTATATAATAATGTAATGAAAAATTGTTCATTTGTAGTTATTGCATGTTTTATATTGCATAATTGAAGATTGTTCATTTATTCTTTGGCTACACTGGTACAGTATGCCCCGACCTATGAAATGTACAAAAACCTTTGCCCCATACTTTTGCCTTTAGGGATGATTATATGGAAAAAGCTTGTCTGGCAAATAGGTGCATAGATAGACACTGAGTTGATGTTCCTGTAACTGAAAAATGTTAGACTAAAATGGAAGGGGCAATGATAAAAGAAAAAAATCTATGATATATTTTTTGAGAGTATGGTAAGTGTTGCTAATATTTAACCGTATGAAGTGACTTTTTGCAATACCACTCAAGAATGTTTTTGCCATTTTATTAACAAAACTATGTGTTTATTTATGTAGGAAGCAGAATCGGCCACCCTTGAAGCATCATCAAGTTCAAAGCCTGGAAGAGTATGATGCAGGATACTAGATTTTGCACTAACAGTAGCTATATGATCTCTGTATTACCTGCTGTAAATGTATATCAACTCTTGATGCATTATATCTCACGTGGATGGTGTTATCATGATATTTTTGTTTGGTTTAAAATCTTGTGTAACTTGCAGAGTTATTTTGTGCCAAGAGTTTGACCATCCCTTTTGATACTGATGTATTGAGACGATACAATTATGACCTATATTAATAATCCTCCGCTTTTTTTGGTCAAATGCAATTTATCCCACTAAGGTTGATATGTAAGCACAGTTTCTTTTCATTGAATTTCTTGAAGTTACAGGCTAATGAAAACCTTTATGATTATTATACTACAAAGTAATGCGTTTTTTGGTCTTTGGGTTAGTTTGAAGATTTTAATAATAAGGAAAAGCTGTGATGCAATACTACACTATCAATTTCTTTTTTCTTAATATTTTTCCCTTTTTGAGCTGGAACAGGTTTGATATGCAATGAAAACCTCTAAACTATAGTCTACTGGTCTTAAGTTTCATAAATGAAGACTTTACATTATCTCATGCACTTGTCTTTCCTTTTATGGGATTCTAGCTATTGACATGCATCAAATGATAAATGGTAGAATTGCATCAAGGCCTGTGTAACTTCCTTTTTTCCTTTTTTGTATGTGTTAAGTGGTTGACCATCCCCTATGTTATTGATGTATTCAGAGGATACACCCTGCATTAGTAATCTTCCTTCGTTTTTAGTCAAATGCAGTTTATCTTACTAAGGTTGATATGTAAGCACAGTTTCTTTTCCTCAGATTTCTT